TAGGATCGTGTTTGATACATTGGAAAAGTTCTGGTTCAAGAAAATTGTTGGTTTTTGAAATATATTCTTTGAGATCGATAGCTATGACTGTCTTCCTTTTATCTACACGTGTAAATATTATGTTATTTTGTTTTCGATACATTAGTTGAGAGTTTATTATATTCGCTAATATATGTTTGTTTAAATTAGGATTGTTAATGTTCTTAATTGCTAATTCATATTCGATCCCTAAACAGTCTAATTCTCTATTAATGTTTGAGTGGTGTAAGTTAAAGTTGAAACATGTTCTGTTATGTTTATGAACCTGTTGTAAAATTGGTGGTCGGTATACGTTGTAATAACTGGCTCGCTGTTAGATATTTTTGTATTAGAAATTAATTTGTCTAACTTTAGTTTTTGTCTAAGAAACTTTTTATGAATGATAGATGAAATGTTCGAACTCTATAATCAAATTTGTCAAATTCTATGGGATTTCACTGTTTTATACACAGACTTCTTAATACGCCACTTTCAACTAAAAATTACAACAAAGAATTTAATATCATCAAACAAATTGCACTGAACAACGGCTACAATCCGCTCATTATCGATACAATTATAAATAAAAAACAAATCCAGGCAACAGGAAACTGTATTTATCGGAAACCTAATACAGAACACAAAAATTTAAAACAATTACAAACAAAAAGTTTCAAAACATTTGTCAAAATGTGATTTAAAAATAGCTTTCAGAACTAATAACACAATAGGAAATTTTTTAAAAAACAATAAAACAAAATGTCCAAATCTCAACACAGAAAAACACATTTTGACGACAATTTTGGTATTTTACATACAGCCACAAAAAGTAGAAAATTAAATTTACTGAAAGACACGGAGATAAACAAAATGAGACATTCAAATGTATTGCTTAACGATACCCCTCCATTATTAAACTTAAATTCCCAGAACAACATTAATTAAGGTTTTATTGTCATTTTTTGGTATATATAGTAGCAGGTAGTTTGTAAATATTACATTTGATAAAGACACGGTGTTGTCGAAACAATTTTCATGTGAATTTACATAATTTGGTGAAAATCTGAACTTTTAGTTCTTATTTAATTTGTTAAATGGATTTTCATCAAGTAAAAACCCCCTCAGTTCAATTTTTCAAAAAGAAATATATATAATGCTCACCCTTGCCTTGTCACTGTCTTTACATAGTCAAAGTTTTATTATTACTTTATTATTATTAATATTACATTTGATAAAGACACGGTGTTGTCAAAAGAAATGTCACTTAAATATTGTGATGGATGTGTTTCTACCGAAGCACGCCGGGTTCAGAAGCGTCGAAAACAATACACATACTAACGCAGTGTATTACTATACATGAAAAACAAAAGTACAAATTGCATGGACCGGTCGTACCGACTCCGGTCCGGCAGATCGAACACAGTTTCATCCCCTAAAAAGGAACTGGCCACTCCGCGCTCCTTGGCCGACTTCGTCTCCGACAATTGGCAATAGAGGGCGCTCCGTACATCACCACTACACAGTACACTCCGACCAATTTTTAAGCCATCACAATATATACAATTTCGTGGAAGTCTGAACTTTTAGTTCTTATTTATTTTGTTAATAATGCTATTGTAATATATCATAAAGGTTCCACTTTCCCTTAAAGCAAACGTTTCAGGCTCTGCCAACACCGACTGACTTTTTTTTCCGTAAATATGTGTTTTGGTCATTAAACCGTCGATTAGTATTTCTGGATTTAAGTAAATATGATTAATTCCGTTTAATGGTGTTTCGTTCGCGGCCGAAGCGACATGAACGCTTGTAAAACCTTCGTTTGGGCGCTCAGTATTTTGTTGTTAGCGTTTCCTCCGTTCAGGGTACCGATAAAGTCGAAATTGTTGCACATTTTTTATACTTTTTTGCTGGTCGCGATAGTGGTAGGCAGCTGCGTGTCGTTTTCGCACAAGTCCCGCCATTTTATGGTGACGACTTTTACCGAAATTCGGTTTTACGTGATGATATTGACCAACTTTCTCATTAGTTTGACATTTATACGGTATCGACGGGATATTTCTTGCTTTTTGAGGGATTTCTGTCGCATAAAGAACCATTTCCGCATAAAAACCCCGTTTTTAACGAGCTATTGGAACCTGGCAGCTACCTACGTCGCCATGACATTCGGAAAGGCACTGCTGCAAGTCGTAAACTTGTTTACTGAGGCTGAGAACGTCTTTGGTCTATTGCTGGCGGACTTGCTAGAGCAACGGCTGATTTTGGTGGTATTCGTGATCACCGCTACTGTGAGCGAAGTCGCGGAAGTAGCGGTAATTTTTAATCGAACTCTGCCGAGAACTCAGTCGTATTTTTATTTGAAACGGCTTGCCGTGGTGCATAACTCCGTGTGCGATGTTGTGGATCGGATCAATGTGATTTACGGGTACCTGATTTTCGCGATAATCTACTATTTGATGCTCGGGAACGCGCTTCATTTTTTGGTTATTTACTTATCCGATACCGATCAGGAGTTCGGAAGAGTGACGGCTATTAACGTCGTAGCCTTGCTTTCATCGGTGGTGAGTATTTGGTGAAAAATTTCTAAGATCCTCGGGCCTCTTAAAATATTCGGCAGATTTTCGCCAACCTTTCTCAATTTCATGATTCATGATCAAAGTTTCATGGGCTTACATTCTAGAACAGTTGGTATCCTCACCGCGTTGCTTAAAACATTATGATAATGGGTGTTTTTTTCGATGTATAGAACTTTAAGTTGGCATTACTGTTCAAGATGGCCACCGCCACAGCTGTCAAGTGATTTATTCTCAGTTTGGTTTGGCAATTCATCATAAATAGCCAAACGATCATCAAGTAAGGCGTAAATTCGTCGAATGGGCCCAAAACGAGATTGCCGTTGTTCCCGATTTTCATAAGCGAATTTTGTTTAGCGATGAAGCGCACTTCTGGTTGAATGGCTACGTCAGCAAACAAAACTGCCGCATTTGGAGCGAAGCTAGTCCTCAAGTGTATGTCGAAACACCGTTACATCCAGAAAAACTGACTGTTTGGTGCGTTTTATGGGCTGGTGGAATCATTGGTTCGTTCAACAAGACGGCGCAACATGTTACACAGCTCGTGCCATAATCGATTTATTGAAGGACACGTTAGGTGACCGCCTAATTTCACGTTTTGGACCTGAGAATTGGCCTCCAAGATCTTGTGATTTAACACCGCTATACTACTTTCTGTGGGGCTATGTAAAGTCATTGGTCTATGCGGATAAGCCACAAACGCTTGACCATTTGGCCATATACGGCCACAAATGTTGGAAAAAGTGATCGAAAAATGGACGTCCAGATTGGACTACAGCCGCGCCAGCCGTGGAAGTCATATGCCAGAAATCATATTTAAAATGTAATGCCACAAGATTATCTTTCCACACTTCGAAGTGTTTTCGGAGCGCGAGCATTGAAGTGGCGAAACGTCTGCAGGATTCCAGTCGGATGCAGGATTTGCAGGATTCCAGTCGGATGCAGGATTCCAGTCGGAGTTCAATGAGCGAACGGATGATATCCCGGAATATAGTGTCATCACATTTTATATATATATATATATATATATATATATATATATATATATATATATATATATATATATATATATATATATATATATATATATATATATATATATATATATATATATATATATATATATATATATATATATATATATATATATATATATATATATATATAACAATGATATTGTAAAGTCTCTATCTATCTATATTCTTCATAAGAAACTAATTTATCAGGGTATGTTTCTTTGTACATATGTACTTGCAGATTTGCTTTGCTTCTCTAGAAAGTCGGTTAGGTCTGGAAGAGTGCTTTGATTTCAATTCTCTTTGTATAGTTTGTAGCCTTTTTGCAGTAAGGTTACAAAAGCTTTATAGCACACTGGGATTTCACAAAGTTCGTTGTTTTTTAACAATCTTACCTTATAAGTATACAAAAATGAATGAAAATCAGTTTCATCTTCAGATTTCCTGGGACCATAGCGTGTTACAGGTTTGCACGTTATTAAACCATTCAGTTAAAGGGATTGTTCATCATAACTTTGTAGTTGAAATGCACGACATTGTAGTGTCATCTTTTTAGCTATCGGACCATCGGCAGGTAACTTCCATAATTGCGGGCCACAGCCAGCATGATAAAAATCTAGACACACTATACATTAGAACAATTTTACCTATACCGACGTTCTTTTATGTATTAATAGATCATGCTAGAAATCTTATTAACTATATTATATATTATATAATCAATTATTTTATAAATGTAACTGGTGCTGCACCTGACTAAATTATTTTTCTAAAATATTTTTTTCGACATACAACGCTTTGCATTCAATTTTTTTATTTATAAACTGTTGCTTTGAAACACCCTGTATACAAATGATTCCTTTTGGTTGTTTTTTTTTCTTTGATTAAGATTATTTGGATATATATTTAACTTGATTTCATTGTGCATAGGTGTAGACTCGTTGAGAATGGAACTTATTTATTTACCCAGGTAGTACACAATATCCGTAGTATATTCCGATCATTTTAAGTCCCATTTAAGTCGCATGTCCCGGGACATGTGGATAATATTCTTAAGATATACGTTAGCCTATATACTAAGGACATACTGTAATCGATATCTATATAAGATCCTATATCCTCACAGTCGGGTATACTAACGACGTCTCAACTAATATAACTGCACATCCTTAGCATGTCCTAACAAACATACGTATTTGATATACTGTGTACGTTCCAATTAGTAACATCATATATCCTTGAGACGTCTTAACGATGTCCCTTTGCTGAAACAGTATATCCCTAGGATATACGCTATGTCCCGTCAAACATCCCGAGGATGTTTTACCGACATCCTTGTGCTGTTTGGGTATTTATTTATTATTCTTATTTCTTTCGTTTACAAGGTTTTTTTTAGTTTCAGGTGATCTTTTTGGCTAGAGCGGGTGAACGGCTGTCGAACGAAACTAAGAAAACGGCATCGATCTGCTACAGTCTGATGCAAAATCCGGTGAAGAATCATTTTCTCGCCTCCAACGATAACCTTCTGTTCGTGCTGGCTCAGCAAGCCTCTTACAGAAGACCGGAAATTTCCGCGGCCGGCTTTTTCCCCATCAATCACTCGATGTTAATTTTTTTCACGTCCACGGTGTGTTCGTATTTCATCGTCGTAGTGCAATTTTTGTAGACCGCCGTTTCCACAAATTTAATCCATACATAATCAATAAATGCGGCTTTATTTTGTAGCAATCAGAGAAAGAATAGAATAAAATGAGTTAATTAAATTAATCTAAAAATTAATCTTTGACCCCTTGTACCTTAAAGATGCTGGAAAAATCACCCTGCGAGATATCGGACATCTTTTGAACAACACCGTGTATACAGGGTGAGTCGAAAATATGGCAGGTTTTTCACTTTTGTTCAATGTTTTTACAATACCCTATATGTCAATTTTTTTTTAATAAAATATCATTTTAATTTATTAATCTCGCAGTTTTTCACATATTATATTGAAACATGTGTGCGTGTACAATGCTCCTGTTAGGTTACACTTTTCATGTAAATGTTGCAAATGAAAACGGCATACCAGCAGAAAAAAAAGAGGTATCCGGTACTTTGTTATCCCCAAAATTTTCTATGTCGTTAAAGCTGTCCTTTAACAAACGCTTACATTGATTATTGTGTATTTTTGGTTTATTTTTGATAACAATAGTAGTTTGTCAGACACCTTTGTTTTAAAAATGAAATAATAACACAGAAAAATGCACGTTATTGTGTAGTGGTGTGATTAAATTTAATTGATCACAAATTTCAAGCATAGGCTTAACTATTTGACACAAAATGAATTTGTAAGCTCACCTTCTTTGTTAATCTTCGAAAATAATATCGGAGACCTTTGCTGCAACAGTATTGGTAATGTTCTAGACATTTGACTAAAAACGAACAAAAATTCATTTTTTGTAGATATTCCAAGGTTGCTTATTCTGGCCAAAAGAATTAATGAAATTAGACCAAATTTTTGTGCTTTTTTTTGTAAAATCAACTTTCAATTTATAAAACTCGCAGTTTTTCACATATTTTATTGAAACTTCGTGTGTCATGTAAATTTAGCAAAGATAAACGGTATACCAGCACAAAAAAATGGATATTCTGTGTTTTCTTACCCTCAAATTTTCTCGATGGACGCCTATGGTTATAAAACTTTCCTTTAACAAACACGTTACTTTTTTTGATTAATGATGGTTTTGAAATAATTTTGCTAAACACGAAAAAAGAAAGTATTTTCGTGGATATTTCAAGATTGCTTGTTCTGGACAAGATATTTAATGAAAGTAGAGCCATTTTTTGTTTTTTTTTTTTTGTAAAATTAACTTTTTAATTTATAAATCTCGCTGTTTTTCACATATTTTATTGCAACTTGGTATGTCATGTAAATTTAGCAAATAAAAACGGTATACCAGCACAAAAAATGGGTATTCTGTATTTTGTTACCCTTAAATTTCCTCGATGGACGCCTATGGTCTTCAAACTTTTTTTTACGAACGCCTTACTTACTTACTTAATAAATAATAAATAAATATTTCAAGGTTGCTTGTTGTGTTCAAGAAATTTAATGAAAGTAGACCCATTTTTTTGTTTTTTTGTAAAATCCACTTTTAATTTATGAATCTCGCAGTTTTTCACATATTTTATTGAAACTTCGTGTGTCATGTAAATTTAGCAAATAAAAACGGTATACCAGCACAAAAAATGGGTATTCTGTATTTTGTTACCCTTAAATTTTCTCGATGGACGCCTATGGTCTTCAACCTTTTTTTTACGAACGTCTTACTTTGTATATTTTCAAATTTTCGTGTATTATTGAATGTTTATAATAATAAATAATTAATGTCTATAATAATAAATAGTTAATAAATATTTCAAGGTTGCTTGTTCTGGCCAAAAAAATTAATGAAAGTAGACCAAATTTTTGTGCTTTTTTTTTGTAAAATCAACTTTCAATTTATAAATCTCGCAGTTTTTCACATATTTTATTGAAACTTGATGTGTCATGTAAATTTAGCAAATGAAAACGGTATACCAGCACAAAAATGGGTATTCTGTATTTTGTTACCCTTAAATTTCCTCGATGGACGCCTATGGTCTTCAACCTTTTTTTACGAACGCCTTACTTTGTATATTTTTAAATTTTCGTTTATTATTGAATGTTTTGAAATAATTATAATAATAAATAATTAATAAATATTTCAAGGTTGCTTGTTGTGGTCAAGAAATTTAATGAAAGTATACCCATTTTTTTGTGTTTTTGTAAAATCAACTTTTAATTTATAAATCTCGCAGTTTTTCACATATTGTATACCGTCACAAAAAAAAATTGAAAAAAAATCTTTGAAATTAAAGATAATTTGTATACTTGGGAATCTTTTGTTTTTGTTATTTAGTACTGTCAATTATTTTTTAATGGGCGTGCAATAAAGTACCATATTTCATTAATGTTATATTAGATTTATATTAATACCAGTGATTCCCAATAGGTTTAATCTGTTGCGAAATAAAAGGCTAATTCGTTCGGCATCCTTTTTGCGAAAAAAACGTGACGACGTAATAATAACCTTCAATCAAAACCGTTCTAGGTCGCACCTATTAATGAAAGCGCCAGTAATTCCCAATTGTAAATGTAACTATAATATTTTTTTATTCTAAAAAGTCCCGTTCCAATTTCAAGTATTTAAATAAAAATTTTACACCGCCAAATTCATGGAAATGAGATATAGCCGACCTAGAAAAAATTATAATTTTATTCGCATATTAAGGGCCTCAAAAATACTCGAGAATCTCTATTATTTTCTTTGGTACAGATAGAAATCACATAGTCGAACTACACAAAATAATTAGCTTTACAAGATGTTCAGTTATATTCTGGCATGCGATAAATGTATGACTGTAAATTAAAGCGGTCCAGGGTAGTATTAAGGAAATTTAAACGCAAAATATATACTCTGTTGTTTATAATTGTAACTATATACCCTTAGAATAGTTTGAATCTGTTTCCTTGTTGCTGCTCGCTTTAACAATACTTTACGTAGTAAGAAAACATAAATAAATATTTTTACATTCAATAGAGAAACCGCAAAGCAATAAGAAAGCATGGGTAAATTATTTAAGTAGTTAGTTGTTCTTACTTGGCTGCGAAGATTTTGTTGTTCTAGAAAAACTGTATCTTTATTCTTTACGGTTGTTCATCGCTCAGATAAGTCGTAGTTGGTGTAAAATAATCATAGTTAAATAGGAGTTTAAGAAATCAATTGTGAAGAGGTCTTGCAGATGATTTTCGAGCAAACACTCCAAATTGGAATCAGATAAGTAAAAACTGACAAAAATAGGACCGATAGATCGTGTATTTTATTTAATTAGTCAGATAGTTTCTACACTCCATGCATTCTTTGTGGATTCTATCTCTGCTATAGGCTATTTCAGATAAGTGTTGAGTAATATCTTGTAAGTCTTTAGATAATGCCCCTTCCGAAAATATTAATTATAATTAAATAATAATTAATTATAAACATCTAGAAACTATTCATGTTTGTAATCAACTCACAGACTCAACAGAAACTCCAAAATAACAACAAAATAACAACAAATTACACCTCTACATATAATTATTTATTAATTAAAATTTATATTTGTTCATTACATTTTAGAGTGGTCACTGGATTGCAAACATGAATAGTTTCTAAATGTCTATAATTAATTAATATTTAATTATAATTTATATTTTTTTAATAATTTACTTTTAATTTTATCTTGGAAATTAGAAATTTGAATCATATAATAACTCAAGTAAAGCGTTCTTTTGTTTATAATTAATTGCTGTTTAATGTAAAAATAATGAATCCTAATTTAGAAATGATTTTATATCAATTATAATGAACATTTATTTTCACAGCTCTATAACTTAAAAGCTGTTGGTCGGGGAGAATGTACGCATAGGAACTTTTGGTAGCAAATTTTATGCCCTACAAAAGCTATATAGGCGTTTTTCCCAAAAACAATTTTTTCTTCTCATCGAGAAATCAAGTGATAACCGAAAAAAATTTGTTTCCTGTGTTACTTAAATAGGAAAATGAATTTTTAAATGAGCTAAGCCGCTATTGAACTTAAAGCCTTTTACCCGGCTGCAGAATTTTTTATTTTGATTTTCAGGTAGCACAGAGAAAAAAAAATATCGCCTAAAAATGAAGCACCCTAATGCAACACGTTCGGTAAACTTTTTGACTCACCCGTTTATTAAAAACTCGCTCCGCTGCGCTCCGCTCGTGTCAAATAAACTTGTGAGTCAAATGCCGTTTATCGCACTTGTTGCATAATATACTATTTCCTCACTTGAAAACATTGATGCAGTCCGAAAACTGATTTTGCACGATCGTCATGTGACTTACCATGAGATTAGCTATCTTTGGGAATTAGTGGGACCAGAATACATACAATTTTGAGTGAACATTTGGCGGCTAAAAAAAATCGTCACAATTTCACATCAGCCCAAAAAAAAGTTCATGTTGATTGGTCGAAGAAAATGCTAACAAAAAACCGATCGCGGTGCTTTCAAACACGTCTATGATATCATGGATCTATGCATATGAACCTCAAAAGTAAGCAGCAGTGTGGGTCTTTCAGAATGAGACAAACCCCACAAAAGTTGTTAGGGTGCGAAGCACCTCTAAACAAATGGTATCCTGTTGTTTCAGGAAAACTTGCCACGGTGCAACTGTTTCTTTGGTGAAAGGTAAAACAGTCAATTCTGAATGGTACACAACCATTTGCTTGCCGAAAGTTTTCGAAGAGATTAGAAAAACCAACCGCCCAAGACGAATCACTCTCCAAGACGACAATGCTAGCTCTCACCGATCAGTGCAAACAAAGAACTTTTTGAGCATTAAACACGTCGATTTGATGAGCGATCCACCATATAGTCCTGAGCACCTAATGACTTCTTTTTCTTCCCATACACTAAGAATAAATTACGTGGGCAACGAGTTTTGACACCAGAAGAAACGATTGATGCGTTTAAAAAGCGTGTTTTGCAGGTGCCCGGTTTGATGTGGAAAAAGTGCTTTTATAATTGGTTTTATCGAATGCAAAAGGGCATTTATCATCAGGGTGAATATTTTGGAAAACAACAAAGTCGTAGTTGTTGGTAGCTTATAGTTTTTTTATTACAAAACCCGAAATATAAAAGGTGTCTTAACTTAAAACTCTTCAATTATGTTCCGTTTAAAATCAGAATTCTAGGTATACAAAAATCTAATAAAAACACATTTATTAAAGTACTGTGTTTGTTCTATAGATGCCGAATTTATGACACCGTCTTAAAAAATTTATATATATATATATATATATATATATATATATATATATATATATATATATATATATATATATATATATATATATATATATATATATATATATATATATATATATATATATATATATATATATATATATATATATATAATATAATATATTAATATTATTATTATGATTATACAATTTTCTCTAGTCTGTAATTTTATTGAATGTCGAAGTGTTTTAATATTTTAAAAACAAATATGAGCTGCTACAAACCAAGTGTGTGTAAACTAGTTAACAAATATTATTATCTTCTTCTGCTTGTTCTTCTTCTCTATATTAGGCACTTCTGTCGTTTCATCTTTTTCATGGGCGTTCTTTACTCCTCCGACTGGCAGGCGATTTATGTCTTGCTATCCTCATTATCCGTTGTTCAGACATTCTATCTATATGTTGATTCCATTCTTGCTTTATAGTTCTTGAGCAGGTGTTAATGTTTTCAATTTCACATATGTGTGTTTTCATTTGTTTCTTCTTCCCATGGTGTTTTTCCTGCTATTTCCAGGCGTTTCTGAGTCTTAGATGTCTTCTTTCAGGGGTATATGTCATATCTGGTCGGACTACAGATTTATATATGCGGGATTATTATTGTGAAATGGGAACTTCCCAAATTTAGTTACTTTTGTCATAGGCATGGGCGTGTTATTTTTCTTTACAATTTTAATCTTCGCGTTTCTGCTAGATTTAAGGAATTTGCCTTAATATTTTCTGTTTTAAGTTAATACAGGACCAAAACATAAGAATATAAAGCCATTAGTGAAACATTTGCACAACAATATCGCCATAAAACCATACACACGCAACGAACTCTATTTACAAAAAGGGTCTTACAACCTTTGCACTTAAATAACTTTAAAATGCAAAAAGTTAGCAGCCCAAAATTTTAAAAGTATGCTTCAGTGATAAAATGGTAACGAATTAAATAATAATAATAATGATAGTCTTTATTGAGAATTGAGATACTTAATATACATAATACATACAATACTAAAATCTCAAAGGGCGAGATCTAGCTGACCAAGTCAGCTATTCAACATTAACCCAACACATATTATTGACCTTTTTGACAATACAATTTGTAACAAGAGAATAAAGAAAAATAAAATATTATCAAGATTGCTTTCGAAAAATTGTCGCTGGGAGGGGCAAGTTTGAAGCGCGTAGCGCGAAGCAGCTTTTTATTATAAAAGAAAAGAACTTTGCGGTCTCGTGTGATAACGGGACCCATGTTGTTCTATCGTGCTCCTGAGGACCACCCTGGATAAAATGTCCTTCCCATCTCGTCGAACTTCAAAGTTACAGCAAACATCGGTAAATATTAAAATTTGATAATAGCGTTGTCGAATGATATTTTTGCAAATATCTCGCGCCCTATATAATTGACGAAACCTGAAGCTCTCTCCCCACACGGTTTCGATACTGTTCAAATAAAATTATCCCATCTTTAACGGTTTTTCATTTATCACCCATAATTTACCCAGAAAAGCGGAAATTTCTAGGATCTATTAGAATTTTTTGCCCACAAACGACGTACCCTGTACATAATTCCAACAATTTTCTAAATAGAGGATATAGCCCTGTATCTCATTAGTTTCCTGGTATCCGAATTTTTCCAATGAAGTTTTCGAAAAACTGCTTGTTTTCTGAAACCATGCAATACGTGGTAATAGTAAATGACGTCATTGCGTCTAGACTGAGGGCGAGAAATGGTGATTTTCATTTGGATTTTTTCAAATATCTCGAACAGCGTGTGTGGTAGACGAAAACCGTAAATACAAAAATTGTAGCCCTAGATAGAGTCTATAACACTGTTTGAACGGATTAGCTATTGTTTGTACGAATTTTGATTTAGGGTTAATAATTTACTATCTTTAAGAACAATTTTCAGGGTCTTTTAGATTTTTGTCCATAGCTAAAGCACCTTGAATATAATCGAAAAAATGCGTGAAACAAAAGTTATAGCGCCGGGTCTCCCACGTATATCGGATGTAAAATTTTTCCGATCGGATGAATGGCTTTGGAGGAAAAGATGTTGCTCCCAGTTTAAAGAGTCTAAATGCGGGTGCAGACTTCAACTTCTCTTCCCCAAGTCTGAAGTCGGTATTATGTTTTTTAATATTGAATGGAATATCGCGAACACCCTGTACAATACTTAAAAACCATAAATACAAAAGTTTAAGCTGTCTACAAGGGCTACATCGTCATGTAAAAGAAACTGACATCTAACGCACAGATTTGAAATTATTGCCGATTTTCAATAATAGGGGGACCCATTTTTCAGATTTTTTGAATTGTCAAGAATAAAAGTTTATGGAGTCGTTTCCTCTGCGTCTTCTGGTTCAAGAATTTTTCCGGTCTTGTAAACGGTTTTTGAAAAATGGTTTTTTTTGTAGACCCTTGCACACGCGATTTTTAATTTTTTTTAAACACTTCCCGAGCCCCCAGCCACCCCATTTTCAATAGGTTTCGTCACGGGGCAAAGCTGCATAAATGTGTCAATTATGAAGTCGATTGCTTCAAATTTCGGACACTTATCGTATTTCATAGCAAGTTCCAAAAAACAGTCGAAAATCGCGAAAAAAAGATGGATACCGGCGTCGGATCAGGGCCATTTCTTATAAGCTTATGTGCTTCGTGGAGGGTTAAAAAGGAGGCCAATTTCAATTTTGTAGCTCCAACTCCATGAAGACTTTGAGATCTTATATATTAACACAGCGAATAGGAACTCAAATAAATTGTTTATTCTCAAGCACTGCAACAAATCAATTTTAGTGACCACATTGTCATATTTCCTTAAGCCATACCCAAATCCACAACAGTTGTTTCAGGTTTTAGCCGCATTTAACTTTAAAGCATGTCACTCACTATAACCTGCGGCAGATGAAAAACCAAAACTGCAAACTCGAATTTTGCCATTGCCATTCCTGAGCTTCCAGATCTCGAAAAACTATTTCAATTTGAATTTTTTATATTCCAACACGTTAAACGGTCAAGCCGCAATTTTTTCATCAATTCGAAACTTTGCCAAAGTGACGATTCCACACAACAAACGGAGCAAATGAAAGAGATAGAAAACGCGGTTACCAGTTTGTCGGCCAAGGCCTTCACACAAATATTAAATTAAATATTTCGGGATTAAGTACGATCGTTAACTTATTAGATTCGCCAAAATTTTATATTCGAAATTGGTATATAAGCCGCGGCACCAACACTAATGTCACTAAGTCGACCATAGCTCAAATATAGAAAATGATCCGCTTAACTCAATTGTTCGTGTTGTTGGCGGTAACAGTTTATGGGGTAAGCAACCAATCGTTTATTTGAAAATAATAATTTCAAAAGTGGCAAAATGTTCTGTTTTTCCATGAAAAGTTATACTATTCTACAAGAAAGTCTTTAGGAGTCTAATAATAGTAATGATAATATAAACTGAGTATCTACTTGGCATTAATTACATGAGAAAAATTGTCATTTGTGACGCCCTCAGCTGACGCAAAACTCAGCTCCATAGTGCAGACACAACCCTGAGAATATCCTTTAATCTATACTGGGAAAGGACACTCATTGCAGAAAAGATAATAGCAACAAAAGAGCTACTTAATATATATTACGATCCCCAACACCAACAATATCCAGCAAAAAATGCAATTTTTCTACGTTCTTCGACATCAACAAACCAAAGAACCAAACAGGAACCTACAAAATAACCAAATAAATATTGTCAAATGCCACAAACTGCAATATCCGGGTCATATTATGAGAACCTCATCTCGCTACGGCCTCCTACGACGGATTCTGAAAGGAAAAAATGACAGCAAGAGAGAACCGACCAGAAGAAGAATCTTCTGGCTAACCCTGGTCTGGTAAGAGATCCGGAGGGCAGGGGCCAAAGTGCGAATAGCCAGTTAAAGAAGAAGAAGAAACAATTCAGAAAAAACTGGTCAAGTAGGCTGATTTGGCATTTGAAATTAAATAACAATGGCGTCAGGAAATGGTGGAGTTTTCTAATTGAATGTCAATAAATAAGGGGACGAACATGTGTCCAGACGTCTTTTTTAAAAACATTAATCTGTTTTTTCTTTCCACTGCATGAGCTTGTTTAAGTTAATAATGAATGGAGCTAAAGCCACCTAAATAATATTTTGTTTTTATGAAAATGTGTTTACTTAACTGTTTTTTTCTGTCCTGTGACCTTATTTTTTGATGCATTTAGAAAATTTTGAAAAAAACGTACCGGCTTTCAAAATTTTTTGTTCCCAATAGGAAAACGCTATTTGAAAAAAAAATCCTAAAAAATTTATAATTGATAATATTAGGAGTTAATTAATGATCAGATGACCTGGTAAATAGTATTCATGATGGTCGCCGCCTCCTAGACACAATTTTCAAAAATTAAATAAAAATTAAAAAAAAACAAAAAAAATGAGGAAAACCGTCCTATTCTACGTAGAATCATCTCCTGAATCCAAAGATTCAAAAGAAGAGTCTGAAAAAGCTTCTATTTAAATATCAATAGAAGTGTCAATTTAGGACACACTGTACACCATTTTGAGTTAAATTTGTTTTCAGATTGTAGGAGATGACCACGGTCCGCTTTTCCTCAAGTTCAAAGACCGGATGTCCAAAGACGAATGGGTGAAATGCGCCGAGTCTGCCGGATCTACAGTCACCCAAATGAACGAGATGCTGAAAAATCACCAGAGAAGCAGCGAGGTGCAATGTTTCCTCAAATGCATCATGGAAACGACGGGTATTATCGGTTCCGACGGCAAAATCGACTTGGCGAAGGCAAAGGTAGGCGTTTCGAAACAGTTATTAAATGGGATAGGTCAATTTCCGATTGCAGGACGATGCGCCCAAATTCCTGACCGCCGAGGAAGTCGACGAGTTGGTCAAGTGTCTCGAAGGCATCGACAAAATTGCCAGCTGCGAGGACATGAAGAAATTCCACGACTGCAAACCCAAAGCCCCGGCTTAGGTCTTTTATTTTATTTACTTCGTCTGTCCGTATGTTTGAACGTCAATAAAATGTGATTGAATTTTCGGCCTCTTTCTTCATACAAAAAAATATTCAGGAACTACCAACTACAGGCCATTCATATTTGATATTAGCGTTACTCGAAGAAGATGATTTTCCTTCACATACAATATTGTTTATAATAATAGAGGTATTTCAATAGTAACCTATTCAACATCCACACTACATCAATAATACAATACAAACTTGGAATGAAAAAGCACTTCATGGCGAATACCCTCTTACACTCAAAGACACATTCATCGGCAAAACATCATCACTACAGTGAGTTCATATCTTTATCTTTATCTTCATCTTTATCCTGAAACTGAGGGAATTATGCTCGCAATAGCTAGAAATTATAATAACAATTTACTTCCAAAAGATAACATGACCCAATTACAGGAAATATTAAATATAAATCATGCAATATACGAGGGTAGCGCTAAAATTTCTCGGCCCGACATAGATGTATCACAGTATCACTTTGTCTTCTTTTAAATATATATCTTAGTAGGCTGCGAAAAAAAATAGAAGTTATGCGTCAACTAGTTTTTTATTGACAGCATTTTAAACAAGACGTGTCCCAAAAAATGTCGCAAATAACGCAAATTGAGTAAAGAACAGACTTAAAGTGTTCGACAAAAGAAGGATTAGCACCTAAAATTATTAAAGAAAGGCTGGATGGTGTGTGCGGCCAAAGTTCTCTTTCGTATTCTGTAGCGAAAGAATGAGGAAAACGTTTTCGAATGGGGCAGGAGTCCCTTCAAGATGATTCAAGAACTGGTCAACCAGTGGAGGTCATAACGGAAGATATTATTGCGATTGTGGAAGAGGTGGTATGATCGACTTTTAAGGGTCAAGGAAATCTCAGAAATCACTAAGCTTTCTGATACAAGTGTTCGTTGAATCCTGTACGATCAATTAGGTATGTTAGTGCAAGATGGGTTCCTAAAAACCTTTCGGCTATTCAAAAACAATGCCGTTTCGAGTGTGCGCGGTCTTTGTCACTATTGTGACGGGAGATGAAACTATGGTTCTCTATTATGACCCTCTATCGAAAAAGGAATCAATGGAGTGGCGTCGTAAGGGTGAAGCACCTCAAAGAAAATTCAGAGTCTGCCAGTCAACGAAAAAGGTGATGGCCACGATCTTTTGGGATTGTGAAGGAATTCTTTCGATATATTTTAAAGAAACTAATACCACTGTCAATGGTAAATATTACGCAACAATATTACATAAATTGCGAGACTGTATACGTGTAAAACGTCGAGGAAAACTGACCAGAGGCGTGCGTCTTTTGCACGATAATGCACCTATCCATATTACTGGTGTTGCACAAGCTGCAATTTCAGAATGTGGGTTCCAACAGATAGATCATCCTCCCTATAGTCTAGATATGGTCTCCAGCGACTATTATTTGTTTGGATATTTGAAAAAGGACTTACGTGGATGGCGGTTTAACGACGAAGTTGAGTTAAAAAAGGCTGTTATAGCTCATTTCGCAGACAAGCCAAAAGAATATTTTTTTAAAGGGATTGAGTTGTTAATATAGAGATGTAATAAGTGTATTGAAGTTAAGAGGGATTATATTGAAAAATAATAAAAAATTGTTGCTCTACTTTGTTTCATTCATATTCAGGCCGGGAAATTTTGGTGCCGCCCTCGTACCATAAGATATAATTGATTCTATTAAAGATTTATATATCTTAGTAAGGGATATCTTTGACAAACTAATCCTAATATAAAAAAAAAGCGGAATTGTGAATTTTCACATTGATATTATTGACATGGTCATCCCATTTAGGGTTCTGATCAAAAACTACCCTTAAATGTTTTAGCTTTTTGTTCGAATTTACGTAAAAAATTATGAATTTTTATTCTTTGCAAGTTTGGAGCCCCAACTTTCATCATGAAATAACATGAAGTGACAGCAGGCTATAATATATTCATTTTTTTACCTGACTTCACCAGAGTAATATTTCCCAGTGTTTTCAACAATAATCAATGCCACATCGTCCTCATAGCAGACAATACCTTCCTTCGGTAAAATAGAAAATATTCCGTTCATGTATAATGTAAACAAGATTGCCTTTTGTCTTTGAGGCAGAGGGCGTTAAACTTTTAATTTATTTTTGGCTTTTGCCTAAATAATATTTGAAGTTATGAGATACTGGGATGTAAATTAATTTTTGACGTTGGTTTTATGAAGGCTTCAATATGTAGAGGGCACTACCTACGTGTCAATTTACTATGTCTAAGTGTTTGATTTCGAGTCCTTTGCTCTTCTCAGCAATAGCCGTCTTGTTTGTCTAAAAAAAGATATATTTCATTATTTTCTTATAAACTTTACCAGCAGATCATTGCCAATTTTGCGTAAGTCCAAGGAAATGTTTATTGCAGCCATAATATCAGTTATCAGTTAATCTGAAAGGTAATCAATTGTATAATTACCATGTTTCTATACCGAAATATTAAGGGCCTGGAAATAAAAATAATATTAATATTTTATTTATTAATATATAAATATAATTATGTTTACTTTCATTTAGTCCAATTAAACCAACGGGAACGCTGTAATATACTTCATTCCATTTTATGAACACTAAACGTTTGATTGCTTTAATATGGTGATTTTTCAAATATTAAAAAAATATATATATTTTCTATTATTAATATATACTATTCAGAAGTCGTATTGCAATAAAAAAAGACTGAAGTTTTTTTTCGTTTGTGCTTGCTTTGAATGTGTATGGATCTTGATATTATCTTTGCTTCTGTCGATGTTGTTATCTTGAAAACGTAGATTAAGTAATATAAAATAAACAATAAATACTTACCTATATTAATAAAATCTCACTGGAAATATGGAGCAGCAATATTTGAAACTTTGTCTATTTCATAAGACCTTGGATTTTTTTAAAACAATCCAAGATATGATTAGGCATTACGAAATAGCAACATTTATAGAAATATTGCGATAACTAAATATGTTATAAGATAAACAAAGCATGCAATTGCAATTTCTAGTTTTAGTTTGTTGCAGTGGGACATACAACAATGCAAAGGTAAGGCAACGTTAATAATTACTAAAATAGGTACCGTTTATGCAAAACAAGGGTTATTTTGGCCATATATCTTCCTGCGAATGTCAAGGAATATATTTGTCCAAATAAAATGCGTATGTAAAATTTGTTTTTACAAAATTTTACATTTTATTTGTTTTGAAACGTGAGGCAAATTTTACAACAGCAAAATATGGTTAGTATTGAGGCTTTTTCTTCTAATATACTTAAGAAAACTTCTGAATAAAACCATGCAAATTGCTACAATTAAAGTGTTGACGAGTTTTCCAATATTTCAGAAGTTTTTTTGGCTGTACGTCTATTTCTTTAGTAGTATTTTCTCAAACAAAGAGTAGGCCAATACTAACCTAAATACGTAAGTTTGGGCAATACGTATATTTATTTAAATTTCAAAACTAACCAAAATTGAATCAATGTTTTAGGAAACTTTCATTAAATTTTTTTTCTAGAAATACGCACAAAAATGTGACATGAAATCTGTAGATGGTTTACTAACCAAACATTTTCTTCGCGAATGGTACATTGGTTTCAAAATTTTGTTAGTTATATGAGCGGCGATGCTCTATCGATACAAAATGTCTTTAATGTTGCGAAGTTGCCGCTTCTTCGAAAAGGGGTATCAACATTGAAATTTTAAATGTTAAACCGTGCATATTATTGCATTGCATTACGATGGTGAAAACAGAAAAGCAATTGAATGTAGGGTTTAGGAAAACACGAAGAAGATGTACTCTTTTGTTTTAGCAAAAATGGTTTCATTATGAAGGCGCGCTATTGACTAAAATTAATGCGGATGATAATAATTCGTCATATTAACGATATTGTTATGACCATAAAGAGAATAGGTTTTAAATTTTTTATAAATGATTGGAGAAAGTAAGAAAAATTTTTGTTTTCAGAGAAATCAGTGACGTACCATCAATGTCTGCCAAGTGGTACACTCAATAATGTCTCCTGATACATAGTAAATGCGTGCCAAATTTCTATAAAATATCTGAATTGGTATGAAAGATATTAAAAAAATATATTTTATTTTGGAAAACTTCACCGTTGATGGACATTTATTTATACGACTTTTTCTTTTTAAAATGGACCCAAAAATCGCCCCCCTAATTATTGATATTCAATTAGAAAACACCCTGTATATTCGAATTGTTTGTTAATATTTAATTTTAATGTTTAACCATAGCAATATGGCCAAAATAGCAACTACACTTTCCCTAGTGTGTCTTGCTTCCCGTATTTCGGCGAAAGACAAAATGGAGGTCGTTTACGAATGGAAAATTGTCGATTTCGATTATCCCTCTGCCGACGCGAGACAGGCGGCCGTCGACAATGGCGAATTCGTGCCAGAAAACAACAACCCTTTGGGATTGGAGATATTTAAAGACGGCTGTTCGTTACAGTACCGCGATGGAGGGCGGGAGTCGCTGCATCTTTAAACTACATCAACATGACCGAAGGTATAGTGCTTTCGCAAATAAATGCTTTCTGCAAAACAATAAAAAGGTAGCGCGTTGTGCATTCGTCAATTATTGATTTTAGAATTATAGTTATGTTTCGTCTGTGCGAAGACATACCTAGAACTCAAAGTTGTGGAAACAAACTTCTATGTGATGTACGAAAATCTACAGTTTGTGCCGGTTACGTGCGAAAAAATGAAAATTGAGTTCCTCTTAGAAAGAATTTTGAAGCACCTCGTTTCAAGTCGTGGCGACTGCTACAACTTTCGTTTTTACGGTTTTCGCATATCTATACTTCACGTGTAAAAGCTGAGCACCGTCGAACTTTGGAAAGTATTTTTTTTCATCTTCTTCTTTAGAATGTTTGTTTGGGTTAATTTGGGTTTTAGACTTTTTCCCTCGAAACCGATTTACTCTATTTTTAAACCAGGAAACGCTATAACTTTTATCTCATTCATTTTTTCGATTATGTA